TCACAAATTCTAGCTTTCTTCCTCTCTCATGGATTCTAACAGTTCCTCCGTTGAAAAAATTTCAGTGACTGAGCTTATGGACCCGATAGTTGGTCAAAAAGAGATTGGCGGGTAATTTTACTCCTCCATGTATACTATCCTTTCGCAATAAGTGATCACGTGTCAAGAAATTGAATTATTCCGCTGGCAACGAGTGATCATGTGCCAAACACATGACTGGATTGTTGTAAGAGGCGATATACACATAGAACAAACAGTTTTTCTCTTTTCTGGTTTGCATAGAAACAAACTTTTTGTGACATGTTCATCTGGTATGGTATCGGTAGATTATAGAGCAACCCGAAACCGTGAGACCTAACTAGCAGGAGGCGCTGGTATTTTTAGTGCCTATGCATGATCTTGGGTCGTATGATCTTTGTCGTTCATGCTCACTTTAACGGCCGCCCAATTGAGAGTTAGTTACAGTGTAATGCCTAATGGGATCTTGGTTTTCATAAAGTGGTCCTTCTTGATTGGGACTTTTGCAGTTAGTCTCAGACACGTCACGCATTGAGGATAAGCTGAGACGGTAGAGAGAGAAAGAAAGAGGAGACAGAGCTTGTGAGGCCCACTGTTTCTTTCTAGTGGGTTTGCATCTGATGGTCCATAGGAATTTATAATAACTAGTGGCTAAGATTTGATGATCCATAGAATTAGATATTTGCACCGCGTTGCATTCAGGTTTAGCCCCTGGTTTTGGTTTTTGCTGCCCTTTCGAGTTTCGAGTTTCGAGTTTCGGTTCCACAATAAAGGAAAAAACAAAAACAAAAGCCCCTCGTTCTTACACACGCATTATATGCTGTCTTTCATGCACGTTTCACTGGTCTTCAGATTCTTCCACCGCACACCACCATTGACAGAAGGTTAAACTAATCTAATTTTTGTATTACTTCTAATCCAGATTGAGATGCTTAGTCACATAAAAGCTTCCATCGCCTTAAGTCCATGTGTTCATTGCTTGGACAATTTGCCAGCAACTAACTATAAAGCGATGAATTCAATGCATAATCTAAACAGATGGGTGCCATGCCAAGCCAATTGTTGGGTTTTGGGGAAAGATTTATTTATTTGAGTCTAATGAGAGAGAGAGAGACAGAGATAGTGCAACAAAACCCACCCACCCCACTCATCAAGTTGTGCACAAGAGTTCTATGTTTTTATTTCTGGATGGCGAGTGGGCATGCCAGAAAATTAGCATTTTACACAATGTGTCAAATGTCTTGCATCAACAGATTCCTTATATCAATATGACAGAGATCCGAATATACATTTCGCCAAGCATATAATCCAAAACTCAGGCTTTTAAGCATAATAAGTTTCACTTATTTCCCAATCTCTTGTTCATCATTTGCCTGATGTGAGAAATTCACAAATCTAATTTATTTGGGGGCAATGATCTATATGAATATTATCCTTATAATATGTCAAGAAGTTTCCATTTATCCCCTACACAGACACATAGTCAAGTCAAACCATGGAAAATTGAATTACTTGCACAACATAGATGAAAGAGGAAGAGGCAAGATACATGAATTTTTGGAAAAAAAGAGGAGGAAATATAGAAGAAAACTACACTATACATATTTACAATATCCCATATGGTGGCAAGTAGGCAGGGCAGTATTGCCAACGGCAAAAACAATTTGCAACAAATGGAATCAAAACCCACTTCTTTCTGTGTTCTCTCCATTTGACTGCTCAAGTCAAGATGGGTAGCTCCCTTGGCTCTTAGTCGACATCCGCTTGAGAAACTCATAGGTAGTGACCATGGTTGTAGCAGACATTGACATTGAAGCCCACCTAGGCCCGAGCCCTCTGTAACAAGCAGCAAACCCACCTTCCCTCACCAAATTCCTCACAGTCTGCATTATGGTCAGTGGTCTTCTTCGCCCATTTTCTTCTGCATCCAAAACTTGCAGCCGGGTCTTGACGGTATCCAGTGGCATGGTGATCAAAGCAGAAACCCCACTAGCCATGGCTGCGCTCAACCCCTGCACTGCCAGCATTGCCCTGCAATCAGGCCTATTGGCTGAGCCGCTCTCATCTTTCTTACACATATAGCAACCAAAACCACCCCAAATGAGCCTATGTGCAACAGAGTACGAAGCCCACCAAACCGCATTCGACGGTGCATAAGTCAGCGTTGATATCCCAAATCCCCTATACAATCCTCTCAGCCCATCTGCATGTACAATTTTCCTAAAAGCATCAAGACCATTGCTATACTTATAGGAACTCACATTGGGGAGGATGTTTTTGCTGCTGGTGCTGCAGCCCTGAACCATAAGTCTCTGGCTCACAACATCAATTGGGGTCCAAACTAATTGGGCAGCCATGGCAGAGCTCAACCCTGCAGCAGCATTAGCTATAGCCATTGCTGTAGTATCTGAAAAGCCTAATCTAACAGTTACAGTACCAACATTACTCTTGGTAACTTCAAGCGCTGTCATG